CTGAGCAAAACCAGCCGGCAAAGGAAGATAAAGAAGGTGGTGTCAAAAATCCAGTCCTAGAGTTACCACCAGATAATGCGAAGTCAGAAAGTGAAAATAAAACTGTTGACGGTGCTGAAAAGAAGACCAACACTCCCCAGCCAGTGTTGCCATCACAAACAAAGCAAGATGGTAGTGATTTGAGTGTTAAGAGTACCGACAGTGCCCCCTTAGCTGATGCACCTACATTGAGTATCGCAATTAACCAGCAGGTAAAGCAAAGTAAGACTCCCAGCCCAGTTTTGGTGACAGTGAGCTCTGATGAGTGTCCTGATGAGAAAACAGTGACCATCAGTGAGAGCCTTAGGTAAGAATCACTTCTTATTTAACAGATGTACATGACTGGAATGTGAGTTGTACTCTTGCATGTGGGCTCGACAGTTTATTCTCACAAAATTTCTCCCTAGCCAATTAGACAAATAGATACCTGTGACATGGGAAGAAGTAACTGGATTCCATTTTTTGTTCTTGAATAGGAGTGTTTGGGAGAATGCTAGCCCTCCATCAGATTCCTCTGACATCATTTCAGAGGGCTCACTGCTACATAAGAAAGACATACATGGATCACAGGACACTCTCTACCACAGCTGCTGGTCTCTGTCTGATTTCCCAGGAAATGAGAAAAATGATGAAGCTAATGAAGATGCCAAGAGTCTGAACGAGAGTTTGCTGCCCAGTAATTCAGGCCCAGGACTAATGGACCTTGGTTTGAAGTGGTCCAGTTATGGAAACAGTATCCATGGCAACCCAGTATGGGCCAACATTCCCAGTGTAAGTATCAATTTAAAATTTTCCTCCCTTGCCAGTGCCAAAGATTTTAATCTGCCCATAAAGTTTGGAACGTTTATGTTTTCAAGCCATGCCAATTGGAAAGAAACGGCAATTTGATAAGTCGGTAGATTTAATGTAGTTATATATGCAAATCATAGTTTATAGCCCAAAACGACTTCAACAGATATATTTGTCACCTGTTATAATACGCGAGGTCATTGGCGAAATGCATTTTAAGATTCATTGTTTCAATATTATTTGCTGATTTTGCAGGCTTCTGCGAGCAATTGGAACCAGTCTCAGGAATCCCTTACCGCTGATGGATCTGGAAGAGGAAAGACTGTATTCTCTCTTGGGCTGGGGATTACTGGACCGGATCTGTTAGCTGCTGCCCGGGGAGGAAGGTACCTCATGTAGCAAGCATGAATTAATTATGTGGGATATTTAGATAGATTGAATTCTTTGCAGGTTCTGGTTTCGAGAAAACTTTACTTCAAAGTTCAAGATTTGTCTATCAAACTTTATTTTTTACCAAAACGTTTACCAGTGAGCCGTGACTTCGCGTGCTAGATCAAGTTTTGTAGGCTTGTTTCCAAACATATAAACTCGGGCTATGATATGTTTGGTCCAATAGTATTTTTTTTAATGTTCTGCAGCTACATTCTTACTTCTCGTTGTTCATGTAATGGTATTTTGTGTGATTAATTTATAGTTGTGAGGCAATGCCTACGGATAGTGTCTCCTTTATACCTAATGTCGGAAAGCCTTGGAGTGTGGAAGATTTAGCACAAAAGGTAAACGTGCGTTTTCTTGTTTGCTTGTTTGTTTCCCTCCTTACTTCCTTCTCTCCCTCTTTCTTTCAGTATTTTCTTTTTCTTCTTGGTGGATAAAAGAATTATCATCTTATTATTATTATACGACGATAACTACCCGAAAGCTGGAAAGGAAGCACTTTCCTTGTTTTTAATGATCGTCTTTGCTCTTGGGTTTGATTCTCATAGAGAATTGAGGGGGGTAAAATTATGACCCCTCCTACATGCGAGGTGTTTTATTACTCGGTTATCATTTGTTTTTTATTATTTGTCAAGTTGAAATTGAATTGTAATACGTGATGATTTTCATAATTTGTTATTTCATCAGAATCCTTGGTCCTCTCGAGATTCTTCCCCTCCTCCACTGTGGGCCAAGACGACATCGTTAACGGAAGACACTCTGAGGCCTTCTCACCATCGGCCTCCCCTTCCTCCGCAGCACTACAGCGACCCTTTCCTCCCAAGGGAGAACTGGTGGCCTCAGGGGAGGGGTGCTGTACCTTCAGGATATCCCCACCCCTCTTATGCACGTTACCATACAAACCTTCAGCGTCAACGTGCTTTTGACAATATGCCATACGGAAAGCTAGGTACTTTGCAGCGAGGCCGCGGCACAGCGGGTGCACAGTCGGCGTTCCAACCGGTTCTAACAGGTTTTCGTAAGCAAGGTCAGCAGTTACCGCAAGCTCATCTTCAGGTACCATCTCACTACGGAGTAGGGCATGGAACCCAATACAAGTCAAATCCCCGCTTTTAATTCCGGTGAAAATTGAGTAGAGTGACTATTTTACGTTGTAAACTTTTTATCTTGTTTTAGTAACTGATGAATGATTTTTAGTTTTATTCATTAATCTGTTCGGGGAGACCTACTCGAATGACTGATGCGGTAGACATACAACAACTTTGAATCTGTACGCTATGAGCCGGAAAAAATTTTTGCTTTGTCTCATGGAAGGGAAATATCAACGTATTGTCAAAAAGAGAGGGGATTAATTTGAAAAGATATATTAACACCAAATTGTTAGAACCAACTTTATAAAATATGTTTGTTATTTAGGAAAGAGATAAATTTTAAGATATTGGTGATTAGAAGCGTTTAACAAAGGATTACATGTTATAAGGAATCATGAATTAGTTATGGGACTTGACATATCTTTTGTATTGGCTTGTAAATGCCATAATCTCGGATATCATGATCAGATTGTTTAAGAGTTCATACTGATGTGTAATATTTGAATGTTATTTTTGGACAAATGATCTATTATTGTATAAACAACTGGGATTCAACTGAAAAGCAAGATGTAAATGTGAAGTTAAAAAAAGCTAATTACGGATAGCATCAGATGTCATTCAAAGTCAGGCTCGCATGAAGCCGGTAAGATGTTCATCGATTGCATCTTTGGTTGTGAGAAGCCGCTGCCTTTTAAAGAGCTATTTGGAACGCGGGCGCGCCACGTGGCTCATATTTGATTTAGATGTAACCTGTGAAGCAGGAAGTTAGGCAAGGCTCTTGTGCATTGTGCGATTTTCTTGTGAAATCTGGGAAAATCGTATCTTGTCATTGGCTGGTTTGAACTATTTTATTGATTCAAAGAAGAAAATGTTTCATATTACTTAGCTGTAATTGCGCCGAAAGCAATCACTCTTTGTTCCTTTTGACAAATTTAATTTTTTTTATTCCATATCCATACATGCACTATGTGATGGTAATTTGTCAAATCGTTTTTGCAACAAAGCCTTTTCTTTCTTTCTTTTTTTATCTTTGATGCGACCGAGGCATTGGTTAAAGGCTCAGTAATGTCGCTTAGATTTGATGGTAGTTATGGCATTCGTGCTTGATACAAGAGTATAGGATACTTCTGCTGAGTGTCGTCAGAAGTTTTAATTTTGTTACGGCCTATGTCACAGACAACTCATTTATGAGTTTCCTGTATTTAGTGCTTTGTTATACCACATGACTTTATCCTAATTTTTATTGTAGATTTAATAGTTTTGACTTTCACTGAGCTTATTTAATCAGACACAAGTTTTAATATTTTAATATCTTATTTTAATGTCAATGTTACTTTTGCTCCAGTAATTGGGTAAATTGCCTTTACTTTTGTAGATCTCAGAAATAAGAAGGTGGATAGCGTGTATTCAAAATAACTAGCGTAGGATTATTATTTAAAAAAATCAAATATTACTTTGAAAGATGTCGAGCATTTGATTTTCTTTGGCTGAACGACAAGGAGGACGTGCCAGTTTTAGTGACCTGGCCCTAAGAGGCGGCCCATAGAAGCCTGATGGTATGCGTTATCCTACAGAGTTATATCATGAAAAACAAAGTTCAGGGTAGTAGCGTAATGATGGTGATGTAATGTTATATCTTTGCAACACTCAGCCGTGGGAACTGAGTTACGTAACTAAGGAGAGCTTTCGAAAGTCTTCTTACAGTGGGGCAGGTTGTGTTGCCTAGCCACTCCACTGACGACTTAAACCGCAGGCTTAGTGAGGACTGGTACCTCTTCCCTTGACCTCGTTACGCAACGACTTAACACTACGTCACCATCAAGAAAAGCGTGGGTCGTACTGGACGAGATTAATAGAAGTATCTTTGTTAAAACGCAGCATTAAGTAGTGACTAGGCTGCAGTAAGACGCTAACCGAGCTACATTTTTAAAAATAATTGGAATACTACACTCTCTGTGGTTGGTCCTTAACATATCACTAAATTAATAAAACTACGTTATTAAAGCAATTCCCTGCAATTGCTATTAGATTACTGGCAAAGTAATCCACTGAGGTTGATTGATTGATTGATGTTTCTTGTAGTTTTGGTCACAATAGCTGATAAGGTAATAAGGAAGAATGAGTTAAAGAGATTTATTGTAATAAAACGAAGTATTATTTGAACATTGAGTCTGAGATTATTTTTTATCAGATGGCGAAAGTGTGACTGGGAAAAATAATTTGAGCATCTTCAATTGGGTACGGGAATGAGCCATTTTTTCGCCTTTTTTCTGTCTTTTCGGTTTTTGCTGTTGTTGGTGTTGTTGTTGTTGTTATTTTTACCTTACATGGCATTATATTCTCCTTATTTGGCATTTATGTGAAATTTCTTAATAATGCTCTTCATGTGGCCGCCTACTGCTGTAGTGAGGCCCTAAGGATGTGTGAGTCAGCGGAAGCCTGAGCAATAAAATGGCGGGAAAATCTTCCCGCCAAGGAATTGGAGCAGTTGAAAACCTTGGTCGACCTTTCGCGAAGAACTTTCATTCAGTTCAATGGAAACGATATTTCTGCCTTCTATCTTTCTTTCAATAGCTTATCACATCTTTCACTGACTGATTTCACGACGAAACTCGAGCAGACACTCATCCCCTAAATAATTATAAAATGAGGGACCGCGAAGCTCTGTTTCTCGGTTCTCTGCCAAGCTTCGACGAACTAATGGCGGTCAAAGCCATCATTCAATCGAGAAACGACGATGAAATAAGCACTATCCAGCCCTTGTGTTGCAGGTATAGATTATTTCGGTAGCCCTAAGGTTACTGCTATTTTTAAACTCGATTTTACTGGCAAAGCATAAAGATGGTAGCTTTTGTCTCAGTTGATTTGCAGGTGTTTGAATTTTGCTTGCAGAGAGTTAATTTTCACGGAACCCAAAGTTCTTGTGTCACCATTAATGGAAGAAAGGAATCAATTATTTCTCATAACTGCGGTTGGTATCAATTATTTTTAAACCGGTAGAACTGGAGCCGCTATGTGTATTATAGCAACTGATTGATTATTTGAATTTCAAATACACAACAATGATGAATGCTTGAGTTGTATTAAGGGTAAAACCAAATTGAATAGTTGAATGAGCTAACGAAGAGAAAAAGTTATTCAATTAAATTGATTATTTATTAACTTATTAATTCGTTGTTGTTCAGTGTTGTTGTTCTTGCCTTTGTTGTCGTTATGGTTGTTATGGTTGCTGTGTTCGTCGTGGTAGCTCTTACAGATTTTATCAAACCGAGGTGTGTACTTAAAGATTGTGCTCTTTATCTGAATGGCATTCCGTCTTACAACTTAATTTTCCTTTCAACCATGTACTTTTTAGAAGCCAATGTCTAAGTCTCCTCAATTTCAAGAGCTACTGCAAAGGCTGAGCATCAAGGTAATCATGACTACAGCTCAATCAAATGGAGTATGAAATCAGCCCAGAAACACTTAACACATTACCTCTCCAAAAATAGTTGGATAGCTAACCTGGACTCGCCTGAAGAGAAAATACTTCCTCCATCAAACTCCGATTGTAAGGGTCCGTCCGTTTTGTAGCAAAGACTCAGATGTGTGAACTGCCCCACTTTCCCTTCCAGTCTATTTTGTATACAGAACAATAGTTGTGTTTATCTATTCTTAACAGATTACAGAACCAGTAACCTTGACTAGGACTGTGTTTCAGTTCTGTTTTTCTTTCACAATGAGACAGAAACTTGCACCGTTGTGGAACAAAGCTGGCGAATTTCTTGTCCAAGGTAATTTTGGTGTGGCTGCAAATCATTCAGTTGATTCTTTATTTACATCTTATGAAGAATGCTGTATGTGAACTTTGTATACAACAAAAATGTTTGTTTCGTAGCAGGAAAACACTCTGTCACAAAGTAGGTTTGGGATATTTCAACACTTTCAAGTTTAGCCTCTAAGAGACCATTTATTATCTATTGCCTGGAGAGGGGGAGTGTCGGAGGGTTTTTCTTTTGAGGGGGGAGGGGGTATGGCAGGGTGTTTGGGTGGAAGGGAGGGGGATCAGATGCTGCCAACAGAATATAAAGGGGACAATAAGAAAATTGACTGTAGCTCCCACCCCACCCTCGCCACTCTCCCAGGCTATGAATAATGAATGATCCCTAAATTCTTGCAAAAACACTGAAGCTATTTTGCTTGTCAATCAATAAATTATTTACTTTGTACAGTCTTATTTATTCATTTATCTATATTGCTACATAGGTCGAGACTTCATGCTGGAAAATTCAAAGCTAAATGCAATCTGTAAGTAATATTGAGACATTATCTGGGAGAGTTAAGCTGGAATTCTTATCTGAACTTGGCAACGTTCACTTCCTCCCTTGGCTTAGTAAAAGACAGTTTGGATAAGAGTATAAAAATAAATTTTCCACCACTCTTAGAGGAACAGCTCACTGTTGCCCAATATTAAGAATCCTCAGCTGTTAAGTTTCAGTTTTATAAGAGAAGCTTGGAGAAATTAAATCTTGATGGCTGGAATGGTAATCAAGAATGAGGTCACAAATTAAATAGTCAACTCTGTTCTCGCTATTCGATATATCTTATGCAAACCATGTTTTCTCAAATGAATAAAGGGGTAAGTTTCTAAAGAAACTGTGGTGCTGCGTCGGTGGGAGAGTATAGCAGGTAATTTAGTGTTAACAACTGGGTTGAAACGTAAATTAGCCACCGTAAAGGGTAAAAAATCTGACGTTTCGAGCGAAGGGCTAACGCTCGAAACGTCAGCTTTTTTACCCTTTACGGTGGCTAATTTACGTTTACAACCCAGTTGTTAACACTAAATTACCTGCCATGTTTTCTCAAGTTTGAAATCTAATGACTCCCCTCTTTTTACTCTATGAAGCTTGAATTCATTGGTCTTTGAAGTCTTTTTAGTGCAGTTTACGTTAAAATTGCAGCTTTGGAAGTAACAATCACCGACAAGATTTTCATTGGATTGCAACCTTTTTCTCTCAAGTTAACCCCGTGCAAGGTATTTTACATTTGTAGAGCCTCTGTCCACTTAAAAGTATTCAATTTTACGGGCGAACGTTCAGGGTAACCGCAAGAGGAAAAAGACAACCATTTCATCTACGATGAGTTGTATTTTTTTTTCAAAAGCTTTATTTTGAGTAAATCTTCGAAAATTATGATAATCTACCGAATGAAATGTGCATTTGCGGCGCAAACCAGGCGCGTAAGACATCGTTTGGTTTTTTTTGGTACTTTGACCTTTGCTTATTTTATTTTATTTCAATTTTTATCTAGCCTGAGCATTTTACCGCGTCAGTAAAAGCACTAGAAGAATTCCACAGTAACAAAGAATCTCACATTAGTGACATCTCTATTTCTGACGACTTGTGTTTTGTGTTGCCAAGGTAAGCTACCTCACATAAGCATTCAACTACAATCATAGTAGATTTGCATCAGAGGAAACTTCATACGTACATTGCAAAAAAATAGATAGAAACTGTGCGCTATTGACTCGCTGGACTCGCTTTCCTCGGGGTATAGTGCTGCTGCATTAGATGAGGAATACGTTTCCACATAGTTTTTGGCCACTTCTAAAGAGTGGTTTTTTAGTGGTTTTTCGTATCTGGTGTAGCACAGCCTATTTTTGTATAACCCTTTATTTTCAGTGAATACTTGCAGAACATTGCAGATTGTAGTAGGATGTGTAGACTACAAGACTGGCTGACTTCTCGCGTGCATAAGCTTTCCAACCTTTTTTAAAGAGGGCTGAAAGGAGGCGTGGTGGGCTTTTTAATGATCTTGATATCCTAACTAAGCAAAAAAATGTTATCACGCTTACAGCAGAAAATGGAGTTCAGAAATGCTTGGAAAGATGGTCTGTTGTAAGAAAGCTTATATCTAGTGCATCTTATCATTATCTTGCTGTCGCAAATTGACCTTTGCACTGTTTTAGCCTTAAAAAAGGAAGGATTGTTAGCATAACACACCAAATTCCTGATGAATGCCCTTTTACAAGTTACGAAGAACTGCGAAAACATTGGAAACTGATGGTATGAACATTGAAAGATTGAAAATTATTGAAACGGATAACCGATTCAAAGTAGACTGTTCCAGGGGTTAAGTGCGACAAAACGGAGCGCAGTATTACACGACGCGACAGTAGGGGCTGGGCAAAAAAATGAACGGCGCTATAGTCAGGTCGGGTCGCGTAAAGAACACCACGTTCCCAAACCTCCCTCCAGTTTTCGTCCCGCCGCTATTACCAAGCAGTTTACAATCACCCTCAATCACCTTCTTTACTAATTGAACGCATGGAACAGTCTAACTTCAAGTTCGTGTTAGAACCTGTAAGATATTTTGATATCTAGTTTTTTTTTGTGGGGACCTTAAAAACAAATATGAGTGTAAACTTTTCCGGTCTTTTATAAATAAGAGTAAAATGCTAGATTAGCTATTGTAGGAATTTTTATTCACGTTTATAAGTGAAACCATGCACCCCATTTTCGTAAATTACTTAACTTCGTCCACTTTTTTGGGCTTTTTATTTATTTCAACAGTACGGATACAGACTTCCACCGGAAGAAAACATTTTCTACAATGTACAGTTCTATTACATCAAAGATAAAATATTTACGTATCCTTTCCTCGACGTTTTTCGAATAGTGCAATTTCCGACTTTGTAATGGGGCCCTAAGAATACTGAATGTAAGTTAATTTTGTGGTTTAATTAAGAGGCTGGACTGGAAAAAAAGGAGACTTCAGCGGCCTCAAAAGCCATCGAAACCCCTGCCGGGTTTTAGTTGTAAGGAAAGCTTGTTAGTCCCATACTGCCCCTTCGTCGTCCCCCCAAAAGTGCAAATGGCTATGGCAAAATTTCTTTGAAACCTGACAAAATGGCGTAGAAGGGGGGGGGGAAGAGGTGGTGGTAACCTACGATGAACAAGCATTCAATCCGGAGCGTACCAATAGTCATGGGAGATAAGCCCAGTCGGTAAAAGCTACACTTAGCTAGACCAAAACTTGACCTCTTTTAAGATTTCATGATAGAGACGGGAGAATTTCTTTTAACATTGACGCAGATACCCAGCTAGCTGTATTCGAAGCAGCCAAGTGTTAGTGTCTCCTCGCTGTGATCACCAGTTAATTTTCAACTCTTTTTTAAGAGACCTTTCAATGCGCATGCAAACTGTGTGCGGGGCACCATTGACTTTTACCTCTTCTCCACTCTATCCAACGAGCAGCCTTAAACACGCTTCTAACCCAAACCACTTAAATTTGACAAAGAAAACACCCCCTCAATTCAACCAATGTAAACCCTTCACTGTGCGAGGTACAAAAACACCCGAGGACACTCAGAAGCAAGTAGTCACATCTTCATTATCTCGTTTGATTTCGTCTCAGCCGACCTCTCACTCTCCTGTCGTTCAACCTGTTTCACACCTTTCTTCACCATATGTACCTTGTTTCACCAGCAGTAGCTCTGTCAGCAGCATATCAAATGATTCTGACCTAATTACAGCGTCCTCTAACTCTGCTTCCCAATTCACTGGCACACGAATAATTCCAATGTTTTCAAGAAAACGAGTGCCGAGCCATGAAGAGGAACAACATACAGGTTACAAAAAAGGGCACAAAACAGATCTTAAAGGAGGATCTGAACCTCGAGAAAAAACGGCGTTCTCTGGATTTTTATCAATTTATCACGCTGCTCACACGCACAAAAGCCCACTTTCAAATTCGTCGAATTCATTGCTAGCTTTCCACCAAGCAGAAATGAGGAAGACAGTGAGAAATGAATCAGAAAATAAATCAACACACTCGAGCCGCACTCTGCTTGAAAACAGGAACATTCACGCTGAAGGAAGACGAGGTATAAGTGATGGGGCAAGTGAAGATATTGGGAGAAGCGTTTCAAGCCCAATGTGTGTGACAGAGGATTCTCCCACGACGGTTTTTAATGGGGCATCATTCTCTAGGCGTGACATCTCCTCCGGCCACAGTCTAAGCCTGTCGAGTCCAGTTTCAAAGTCCTTGCCTCAAGCGAGACCTGGATTAATAATAACACAAGCGCCTAAACGTAGAAATATTGCGGCCTCCCCTACAGATAACACAAACTGCAGATCATTTGAAGACACCGCGTACGTAGGGAATGACATTTGTCTGTCGTCAAACAGTAATCCTGCAAATAGATCTTCATTATCAGTAGCAGAAAATGGCAGACCGGGCACCAGTCCCTGTCTGCTGAATGGGCCTCGTTCTACTCCTGTTCGGGTACATAGTTTTATGTGGAATGATTTTATCATAGCCCGATAAGTGTTTATGCGGTTTAACCTCTGTTCGGGAGGTTTTTCGGGTTCATTTTCAACACCAGAAAAAATGGAGTAATTTATTTCTTCTTTGACATTATTCAGAAGTCACTTGTAATCCGAAGTATCCCCGATACTTCAGGAATGTCACAATAAACATAAAAATATGCAATCCCTACTTAGGTCTTTAAATTGATTGAAAGCTTTTTTCCGTTTCAGATCAATGGCCTTCCAAATGAAGGCACGCCTTCTAAAGGGCCAAAGTCAAAGCCGAAACTTCAGGAGAATGTGGATGTAAGAGAGCTGGCCGTAAAGCAGCAGGTAAAGTAAAGTATTCCTTCCTTGTTCCATATTGCTTTTCTCGGATTTTATCATCTTTAAGGGCATCGTCTCCTTTATTGTACACTGAGCCTAAAGTCATAGGCTGCATGTCTGTCGAGAACTCAAGAAAATAATTTGATCAGCTTGCAGAGCAGTGATCGTTGCGAACAGAAATGAGTAATTCAAAGAAAACAAAGAGAAAACTGTTTTCCAATTCCAGCCTCATTTCACTCCAAATTCTCAAATGTGTTAAATTTGTTTCAAAGAAGAACCCAGTAGTCCACCAAATGCGTTCTTTTCACGAGAAGAAGCTTAAGGCTATCTGACAAAGGAAGCAGATCCTCATCTTTCTAACCGTCAAGGCATTTAACTCTGTTTTATCAATGCTAACAGCTGTTCCCTTTTCCACTCTTCCAGTTAGTTTCATATTGATTTTGAGCCTAAAATTTCATTTTGAAATTTGAACCGCGCCCTTAACTCTCACTTATCAGGGAGTCAGCCTTCCCCTCAGCTTTTGTTCGTCACTTTACTATTATCTTGAGTGCTTTGCCTCATTACGAAGCTTAAACATACAACATACATTTAGCTCCACAAGGTAAACATGGCGACGTTGATCGACTGGCTTAAAAAGCGAGGTGTCCCTGTGAAATCTAAGGACAAGAAAGAAGAGCTTACCAACAAAGTGAAGGAGTACATTTCAGTGGTTGCACATGAACCATAAGCTAGTGTCGAATAACTATCTTTATTATTCACTATCACGTCATTTTACCATGTTAAGACAATGGAACGCACAAAATATGCTACGGTGTTACTTTGTAGACGGACAGAAACGATCCGCGTGATCTTAGATTTCTTTTCCGTTTTTTAGACATGGTTTTTTTTTTCAGCAACTAACTTAAAAGACCACAAGAATTATTTAATGTTGTTTTCTTCTTTCACGTACTCCATATGTGGTCGGTAAGATGCTCAGATATGACCCTACTAGGTTTCGAACACTAGATGCCATAAGACTAGAAAATGAAATAGATCTGGAGTAATAAATCCCCTTTGGTTTAATATGTTATACTAGCGGTATTTTCCTCATTGATCTTATTTTTCCTTGTCCCCTACGAGGCTCATGAAAATATTATGCAACTCGCAAAATATCAGCACGTACTTTGTATTAAACCATTGAATAAGGTGTATTTATTCTTTCCATTATCCATTGAATCAAGAAAAATACACCTACGTGCTTTTTCAACCCCTCTAAAAAGATGGGCGTTGTCATGACACCTTCATTATTAAAGAAGTAGACATGAAATTTACTAAGGTATACAAACAAATACACGAAGAAGAATGATAATGAATTGGAGTTATTGATAAAACACTGCAATCGTGGGATGAATAAACATACGTTTTTATTTCAATAAACTTCCCGTCTAAAAACGAGTAAATTTAAACAAAAAGCAGGTTTCCTGAATGAACGCCCCCTCTTTCAAACACAACAACTTTATCTTGTACCCTAAATTAATTTACATGATGCAAAAAATATATTACATGAAAAATGGAGAGTTTAGACTTCCCATAATAACCACTGAGGGCTAAAAGGTAGGGCAGCTTCACTTAGGTTATTAAAAAATTATTGTTTAAAAGGTCAGATACCATACACGCGCGCACACTACACAAAATACAAAAAGAAAAAAAGCTAGTAGAAAAAGAAAGACAACAAAAGAAAGCCAACTATATCAGTATTTCAGAGCGGAAAGCCAGAAAAAATAGAGTTTTGGAAAATCTGCAATTAATATTTAGCAATAGGAATTGTCTTAAACTTTTTCTTAAAACGTGTGGGAGAGAGAAGCTTTATGTCGACACGTTGGAATTCCTTCTAAATTTAAAGCTATTGTAACACATACGAGAAAAGCTTTCACATCCGGGGTAAATTCTTCTTTTACATCAAGTTTATAGGGAGAAAAAGTTCTTCTCAACTCTCTTCAATCTTCATAGAGACATTCTCATCTAGATTTGTTTTTAGAGAGATTCATATGTTAGAAAAACCTTGAGGATGTTTCAACATGAATATACTAAACACTGTTACTGTTTTACGCATGTAGCTTTGTTATTCTTTCAGTGTAATGAGTTGTGTCTTTACAGTGAAGTAAAATTAGTGACAGCTTAATAACAGACGAACTCTTTTTAGCAGCCTCCTTAAACACGGGGAATCAAATAACCACCTTGCGATGTAATACAACACTTCAAGAGTTAACACTCATCTCTAATAACACCATGACTAAAAACGCAGTCAATTTTCCCCAATATTTATGGTGTGAATAACGAGTAACGCCATAGAACACGCTTTACAGAAGAAAAGAAAGAAAGGAAAAGGTAAATCGTCTTCATTTTTAGCTTCACAACTTAAAACAACTAGGAATAATTGACTTAACATGCGCGGAGTACAATTCACGTTTTTCGCAAATATTGTGATCAGGTCGTTTCAAAGCCGATATCGCCGCAATTAACAAAAAGTTCTAAATAAGCACGATACCGGACTGGGTAAGATTTGAATTTACTTCTCAAGTCATTTTTCAACCCGTACGCACGTGCCTCAGCTTAACCGACCCGATGCATGTAAAATTCAAACACTGGAATATTTCCTAGAAAGTGGGTTACATTTGACGTAGAACGCTGCCATAACACTATACTTGACGACTTTGGTCAAAGTAGCAACAGGTTTAAACAATTTTGCTTCACCCTTCAAAATTATTTGCTAAAGAAATTAAACGAGGTATAGCTCAGGAAAAAAAGCTTTGTTTTACACTGAAAATGCTACTCGTTACAACTGCACAAAACTATAGAATGACTTTTTCCATTTGCAACCTCAGTATTAAAGGCGAGCTACTGAAGCGTGAGCGCAACTCAGTTAAAATATTCTAACGTAGCATCGCGCGAATGAACGTAATTTTCCACTTCGATACCTCGAAGCCCAGCTGAGAAACATCCGGCATGTGGGCGAACCGCAACGTGTACCTCCATTATGATATTGTTCTAGAACTTTGAGAGTCCAAATTTTTTTTGTTATTGAGTAGAAGATGCGCTGATACATCGCTCAAACCCACGTTTCCGGCGCTTTGTCAATCTTTCCGATCATTTTTTTTGTTATAGTACATTCCAGTCATAAAAATCTTTTTAAATTAGTCTTCGTCTCTGAATTTATTTGGTAGTAAAGCCAAGGTGTCCGAGTTTTCCCTTTTTTAGAGCTCAAACAGAAAGAAACAGTTTTAAGTAAAGCTCCAGGAATTTATGGAATTTGTAAAACGATTCAATGTGTTAAATTATGTTCAAAAAATCTGATGGTCTATCTAATGCTTTCCTTTCTGATTCTTAAACTTGGTTAAGCGACGTTTTTAGGTTGTATTAGTACGTTTTATTCTTAAAAGTCTCGACAAATGCATACTTTTAGAACAAAACGTATGACTGTAATCGAGAAGAAAACTTCAGAAAGGCGTCTATGGTTTTGTGGGTCATTAGTTAAGAAAGGCCCCTTTCTCCCTGAAAGGCGAAGAGCACTTACAAGTTTAAAATAAAAACAAAACCCTTAAAGGTAATCACATCTCAGAGTAATGAAACGACTACAAAAACAGTTTTGTTTTATTTCCAGAAAGGTTAGTCTATACTATCGTTATACTACTTGGTTTTAGACAACGAAGTGATCACTGCATCGCACTTTGTCTCACTACAATGCCAGCGCTCCCTTGAGCAGTCGTTCAAGGAACATAAACAAAATAGGCAATAAAAACAGCATAAAAATTTTACGTAGGAATCATAAAGAAGTAATGTTCATAGGTTTGTAAAGAACGAGCTGACGAAAGATGGTTTATAACACATTCTTAATCATTTTCAGAGACAAACAAATTAGATAAGTGCGCAGACTGAACAACATGGCCACTTAAAAATAGAACTACATCAAAAACCGCAGGCCATTTACCTGTGTGTTTCCCAAGTACTTGAAGTGCTTATAAAGTCGTGGTGTCTATCGGGAGTAAATTAATTAGCTCAGTACGTAAATTATGATGCAAGAGGTTTTGTTCTTCACAAGTGCCCTTGGGGTGGCAATTCCTGCTCAGACGTACTTCACTAGGCGCCGCTTTAGTAGCGTGTAAAATGGTCTCTTGAAATTCACTAAAACGTCTTAAAGGCCCTTGATAACCAAATGATAAGTATGTGCTTTGTCATGGGCGAGAAAGAACGCGAGAGAAATAAAACCACAACAAAAGAAAGCAGCTTCGGTTTGCCATGAAATAACGATGATCTTTATAATCAAATGGCCTCGCGGGTACTTTTGCAATTGTTTAAAAGAATTGTTCATCTAAAAACACGTTTTGATATGGAACGCGACTTTAACTAACGTTATAATCTCCAGTCGACACAAAAAAGATAATTAAATTAAAAAAACAGAAGGGAATTATAACAGTCAAACGACTATTTTGCCCCTTTATGGTCTAATCTTTTGATAAAATCAACAACAAAAATCACAAGCGCAGAAGATCAATTCGGAAGCGAGCTTTCGTTTGAGGACTTCTTTGCTAGTTTCTATCCTAAGAATTACTTGCAGATGGGTGTAAGTAAGTGTACTTCTAAAATTCACATAGCGAGCCACAGAAAATGAGCTTTTCATGAGTCTTACTAAGTGAACTTTTGCTCTTGTATTCTACGTAACGCTGGAGAAAAAGTGGCTAAATAAAGTTCAGCAAAACTCCTGCTGTTTAAAAATTAAACGAGACTCAACTTCCAAGGATATGCTCAATGCAATGCGAAGCAGAATTTTTCAACCAGCTGCTCAATTTTACATCGGTCTCATTTTTCTCGTTCATTGTCACTCCATTGTTTTCGCTAGAATCACGAGAGATTTTTGTTTTACGATCCACCGTCGTTGTTAAGTTCATGCATAGAATAACGTCGTGCAAGCTGTTTCCAACGTGAAAGATAGGGTAGCAGCCAATTAAAATGGCACAACTATGGCCTAGAAAAATCATTCTAAGTAAAAATCGGTTCACAACAATACTGTATGCATAAGGGTTGCCTTTTCTCTTACTGTCAAAACGAGTAGTGTTATACATGATAAGTTTCTGCTACGCCAAATAACAGAAATTGTCAGGATCGCTTTCGGTTTGCAACTGACGGGTTTCCTTTGTGGGGTTTGTAACGCTTCGTTAACTTTATCTTGTTGATTCCGTTAACTTTTTTGATATTGATAATATTGTTTTGACTCGTTTTGTTTCAGTGTTTTCTTTGCGCTTAGTTCCACCCATGTGTTCTTTTGTCCCCAACCCAAAGGCAATCCATTTGATTATTTCACCAACTAACAAGCTTCCGAACAAAGGATCATTTATCTGTTCTCACAAAAGACTTCACACAACAATCACCGCCACCGCTGCTTTTTTTAAACCGACACGACTTCTATTTTTCATCAATAAAGAATGATCTAAACATATTCTTTGTCCTCTACAAAGAAGGCACGTTTCCCTCAATTCGAGAAAATGAAAAGAGCCGTGAACGTGACGAGGGAATTCAAGAGCTCCTCTTAATATAGTTACAGAGTTTCGTGTCAAAGATGCGGATCGTGATCAATGGTTCTATTGCTCACGCGAACACGCGAGTTACAGAAATCGAACTTAGGAAAACGACAATTGGCTCAATGTAGCATGTGACAGGTGGCACGTGCTGTAAATAGTATGGCACCTATAA